ATAATCACGGATAATAGAGGTAATAACGGTTAAACGATGCAGAAAAATTTAAGTCAATCCAAAATAAAATTAAATCGATGCAAAAAAATTTATTTTTCCATCCCGGATAATTGATGTTGCCGGATAATCGAATCACGGTTAATCAAGGTCCTACTGTATTTCCTAAAAATGCTTTTTATTATTTCTAAATGGTTTTACAATAAAAATAAAACAACATAAAGCCCTTTTCAACTGTAATTAAATGCAAAATGCATTAAACAGTGGTCTGTCAGACCATATTTGCAACTTCTCTTCCGGTTTAGTAAAAGAGTGTGTACAAAAGGTTTGAATTGTTTTAATTTGACTAGTAAATACTTGATACAAGTTGCATGAATAAGAAAAAAGAAAGGAAATGGGTATAGACTGGTTTCAGACTATAGACTGGTCTATAATTTATACAATAGACTGTTTTATATTTCTGATTACATGGTCTATAGTGTAGACTATAGACTGGTAGTTATAGTTCTGACTATAGACTAGTCTATAGTTCAGACAATAGTTTAGAATACACGCTATATATTACAGACTTTAGACTAGTAGAACAGACTATAGACTGATCTACAATTCAGACTATAGATTCCTCTACAGGCCGAACTAATTTACAGAGTGAACTCTCCATAATTGAAGTAGAACTGAACTAGAACCAAACTAGTACTCAACTAGAACTGAACTAGGACAGAACTAGAAATGAACTAGAACTGAACTGAACTAGAACTGAACTAGAACTGAACTAGAACTGAACTACAACTAAACTAGAACTGAACTATAATTGAACTATAACTGAACTAGAACTGAACTAGAACTGAACTAGAACTGAACTAGAACTGAACTAGAACTGAACTAGAACTGAACTAGAACTGAACTAGAACTGAACTAGAACTGAACTAGAACTGAACTAGAACTGAACTAGAACTGAACTAGAACTGAACTAGAACTGAAGTAGAACTGAACTAGAACTGAACTAGAACTGAACTAGAACTGAACTAGAACTGAACTAGAACTGAACTAGAACTGAACTAGAACTGAACTAGAACTGAACTAGAACTGAACTAGAACTGAACTAGAACTGAACTAGAACTGAACTAGAACTGAACTAGAACTGAACTAGAACTGAACTAGAACTGAACTAGAACTGAACTAGAACTAGAACTGAACTAGATCTGAACTAGAACTGAACTAGAACTGAACTAGAACTGAACTAGAACTGAACTAGAACTGAACTAGAACTGAACTAGAACTGAACTAGAACTGAACTAGAACTGAACTAGAACTGAACTAGAACTGAACTAGAACTGAACTAGAACTGAACTAGAACTGAACTAGAACTGAACTAGAACTGAACTAGAACTGAACTAGAACTGAACTAGAACTGAACTAGAACTGAACTAGAACTGAACTAGAACTGAACTAGTACTGAGCTAGAACTGAACTAGAACTCGTGTAGAACTGAACTAGAACTCAACTAGAACTAAACTAGAACTCAACTAGAACTGAACTAGAACTAGAACTGAACTAGAACTAGAACTGAACTAGAACTAAACTAGAACTGAACTAGAACTGGACTAGAACTGAACTAGAACTGAACTAGAACTGAACTAGAACTCAACTAGAATTCAACTACAACTCAACTAGAACTCAACTAGAACTGAACTAGAACTGAACTAGAACTGAACTAGAACTGAACTAGAACTGAACTAGAACTGAACTAGAACTGAACTAGAACTGAACTAGAACTGAACTAGAACTGAACTAGTACTGAGCTAGAACTGAACTAGAACTGAACTAGAACTGAACTAGAACTGAACTAGAACTCAACTAGAACTAAACTAGAACTCAACTAGAACTGAACTGGAAATGAACTAGAGCTGATCTAAAACTAAAATTAACTAAAATGAACTTTTCGATTTCATTTCAAAAAATTGCAACGGCCGTTTGCAATATAAATTCGCTGCTAGCAGTAAAAAAACTTATAATTGAAATCTGCAAACATAAGCAAAGAAATTCTTATAAGATTACAAATCCTATACGAATAGCTCTTACTAGAGTTAGATCTATGTATGTTTAAAAAATATTTTAAAGATAGCGATTCATAGATATCTAACATTGGGAACAAACTAACTTATTTCGTAGTAAAAACTAAATTTAGCTTAATATCTCATAATTTTGTATTAAAAATTATAATTTTGGCACATATTTAAGCGATTATAAAATACGCAAAAAATAACAAAAGTTACCTTCACTGGTAACAACTCTGCAGTTCTGCACGCACGCAACAAAAACAACAACAACACAAAAAACAGAGAACGACATACAAAAAATGAGCAGAGTAAAAAGCGAATAAGAAAAAAAACAAATGAAAAATTAGAGATGGCAACACAGTTAAGTTTAGCAAGAATAAGTCATCGGCAAATTTGTATAGAAAATTACGTCATCGCGTCACCAATATACAAGAAAAAAAAGTATAGAATGAACTACGCAAAATGTAGACCAGAGCAAACAAATATAACTTAATAATTTTCAGATAAATGAAGAAAATAGTAAACATTTGATAACTTTTATTGCAGCGCACATAAATAACGAGAAAAGCATTACACAAATTCCGGCATAGAGAAAGAATTGAATTCCCACACTAAATTTTCTTTTAAATACAGTAGCATTCATTCTTTTTACAGTTGTCGTTTATCTCTTTCTTTCTTTACCCCATTCGAATTGGCGTAAGAGCGAAATAGTTAATTTTTCACCGAGTTCAATTTTGCAATTTTTTTCTTTTGCCTTTTAACACTTTTTCGATTTTATTGGTTAAGTTTTCTAGTTTTTTCGTTAATTTTGTACTTACCCAGTTATAATTTCTTATAAGCACTGTTTAATTGAATTTTTTTAATTTAGTTCGCAATAATTCTCCGAAAGAAATATTGTTTTTCTTCACACGCAAAATTAAACTTCAGCACAGACGTAAACTTCTGCAAAAGACGTAATGCGAGCACACCTAAAAGGTGTGCCGACAAACAGTAACGGCGGCGGCGGCTGACACTATGAATTTTGGCGGCGGCTTAAAATCGGCTGTAAGCCGGCAAGGTTTATAATAAAATTATGAGATTTCGCAAGACAATATTTGAAAAAATCAGAATGTTGAAAATTGCCACAAAAGATCGGAGTTTAACAGTACAAAAATATTGCTCTGCCTCGAATCATTAGTAGTTGTCATGATTACAGTTTAACATATACAGTCAAGCGCGTTTATAACGACCTCGGTTATAACGGATTCTTGGATATTACGAATAATTTTTCAAATCCCGATATTTTGGTAACTATTTCACACAAAAAACATCCCACATAACGAACTCGATTACGAATCTTCGGATACAACGAACTACTTTTTCAATCCCTTAAGAACGATTTCATACAATTTTCCTTATTTTATAACGAACTTTAAAGTTATGTGTGGAAATTAGAAGAAAATGTTTAGCTTTGTTGGAAAAAGCTTAAATTTGTCATGAAATATATGAACAAATAATATCAATTATAATAAATTTATAAATCATATTCTTTTAATTTGATAAAATCCCACTTTTTTTGGAACTACATCTTATTACGAAGTTCGCTTATAACGAACAAATTAAACTGGTTCCCCGGGGTTCGTTATAAACGAGATTGACTGAACATATGTTTATAATTTGCATTACCACCAGAGAGCTGTCATTCTAGGTTGAATGATATTTATATGAAGAAGAAGACCACCAGAGATCCAAGTCGAGTGGCTCAAAGCCGGCTTCTCGCCACCACCGACACTTATTTTAAGCGACATGGCCACACATCAAATTTGTAGACTTAAACGGTAAGTTTTTTGATTGCGTTAGTAATAAAACTCACACGGTATGAGTATTTTTCACTAACACAATTAAAAAACTTACCACTTGAGTCAACAAATTTGATGTGTGGCCATGTCGCTTAATATATCCAACCGACGCCGTTGTAATTGGCTGACATCTCTTTTTTTATTTTATTCTTCAAATGAAATGTTGCCAGAATTTTTAAAATGGCATTGAAGCACACACATGAAATAAAAATTAGCTATATAAAGTCGATTCTACTATAATGTAGAAAGAGTCGACTTTATAAATAAAGGTCACGCTAAGTAAAGAACATTATACATATATTATTTAACACAAACATTGGAAAAGTTAACAAAAGTTGATAATTCGAAAAAAATCGAAGATTCAGGAATAATCGATATTATGAAAAGTTCTAAAAATCAAAAATTATAAAATTTAAATTGTCTGAAAGTTGACTTTTTAGGAATTACAAAAATCAATTTTTTCAACTATGGAACTATAAGAACAACTTTCAATTTATATTGATATTAGGGTCTACACTTCCGATTTCTTATTTTGCAAGAGATGTTTTTATCAGAACAAAGCACAGATCATTTCACTGAAACAATGTTGTATATTATAAAAGCAATAAAAATTTAGTTAATAAACACTAATTTGACTAAAACTTACTCCGTGTCTATATTAGACAAATATTTATCACAGCACTTGACTAAACATCGGCAGAAAAATTTTCAGTTTTTTGTTTATGTACAGGGGTAACAAAATGCTGATTTTATCACGACAAAACACAGCTAATTTTACTGAAATAATACTATATTTTATAAAAACAATTAAAGTTTTGAAAATAAACACTAATTTAATTACACAAAAACAAAATTCTATACAAATTTTACAATACAATGACGTTTGTTAGTGACTATAACTGATATTTTTATATATCATGATAACATGATAACGTTTAGCATAATAAAAATTTATCAAATATAGACATGGCTTGACATCACATGCTGTCACCTTTAACATTTTACTACTTTAATACCAAAAAATATAACTCTATATAAAAATTAAACCAAAACAAAAAACACATGTGTAAACATACGAGTGGCAACACTATCGCGCCAAAATTTACGTTAATTTTCCGCCACTTCTCAAGTACATTTAATAAAAATGCAGTCACTGCGTCATTCATTCGAAAAACGCTGAACTGAGAACACATTAGAATAATTGTGAAATAAACTTAATAAATAATAGAGAAAAAAGATAACAAAAGTTCAATATATAACAATATTACTTGAGTATAAATAACTAAAATAAAAACAAAAAGTTCTAAAAATGATGGCCGGTAAGGAAAACATTATTGACAACATGGATAAATTTTCTTTAAAGGTAAGTTAGTGTGTACTTTTAAGGGCTTATTTCCTGGATAGTTCCTAATAAAAGCAAAACAATAATATAAATTATTTTGTTTTCTTTGTTAATTTAGAGTCCTCGTAAAGTCCTTACCGCCGTCAATGTGGGTAAGGTGCGTAAATTGTCGATCGGTGATGACATGCAAACAAATGGTAAAAGCCAAGATGTTAAAGAGTTAAATGAAACTGCCCCTAATACAGCAGGCACTTCTTTGGCCAATAAAGCACCTGTGCCATTCGATCCCAGCATTGAACCTTTATTAAAGGAGAATCCAAGACGTTTTGTTATATTCCCCATACAATATCTGGACATTTGGCAAATGTACAAAAAGGTAAGTGTTCTTCAATTTATGGTAATTTCGTAGTTATTTAGTATTTAGTTCAAGTGCTGAGCCCTATATACCATGCTATATACTATAAAATTAGAAAACTTTTAATATATTTTATCCATTATATTACACAAATAACTTAAGTGTAAAAGTATTGGTGGTGACGTGCAGTTTTTTAGGCAGTATACAGATTATTATAAAAGCGCGGGAATTAGTTACTGTGTTATTGACTTCTTGACATGTATGTAGTGTTGTTTATAGAATAGAAAGGGTAGCGCAGGGTTAGGCATGTGTTGTAGAGTTATTTAGTTATATTAGAAACAAAGAAAAGTTGTACATTCACTTTTTTTTGTTTCCCTCCATTTATTTAGACTTTTGGCGCATTTTTTCTAATCTTGTTTAGCTTGATGACCCTTTCATTTGTTTACCTTATAGTTGCTTGTTTAATTATAATTGATAATTTTTTTTAATTTTTTATGTAACACGTTTTTTTTTGTATAAATTAGTAGTAAGAGTTTTTGTTTTTTTCTCTACATCTGTTGATAAAACCTACCGGCAGATGTTTTTTCTTTTTGTTTGTTTAATGGGAGTTGCCAATGTTTGTTTTTAATGGATTTCTTGGAAAATAGGTACATACCTATCTTAATTGTGTAATTGTGGGTTTTTTTACATGGAAAAGTAGTTACAACATTTTTACAAAGAAAATGTTGTCATTAGCGTTAGTTATTTTTAGCTTTAAAATTAATTGAAATATAAATCATTTGGTTACATCTTCTAGATGCAATTTACATTTTATTAATAGGTAGTGATTTCATTGTTATTGATATTGTAGTGTTTATTTAAACTTAAAATTTTAAAGTATTAATAATAGTTACAAGCAAATTTTTATTAAAATTACGTTTAATACCTACTTATTTATTAATTTTTTTCTAATTTTCTGTATAAAATTTAAAAAAATACTTTTTGTTTTAGATTGTTTTAATCAGAACTATTGTTAAGAAACTACACTGAACATCATGAACTAGTTCTTAATAGAGTTCCAAGTTTAAACGAAAAAATATATTTTTCGACTTTTTTCCAATTTTTTTTTTCAATTTACTGAAATTTATCCTAAAACATGTGGGATTTTAGTTTTAGTAAATAAGTATGGTAACCCTACCGAATAAACAATACCGTTTTGCCATATGTTTAAAATTTATCTCCCTTCCCCACAAAAACAACGAATTAACAAAGAACTTTATTTCCCCCAACTTTAGGCCGAAGCTTCTTTTTGGACTGTAGAAGAAGTGGATCTTTCCAAAGACAATTCCGACTGGGAAAGACTCACCGACAATGAACGTCATTTCATTTCACATGTTCTAGCTTTCTTTGCTGCTTCCGATGGCATTGTCAATGAAAATCTTGTTGAACGCTTCTCCCAAGAAGTACAAGTTACAGAGGCACGCTGTTTCTATGGCTTCCAAATTGCCATGGAAAATGTACACTCTGAAATGTATAGTATTCTAATTGATAGTTATATTAAGGATCGCGAGCAGCGTGATTATCTCTTTAATGCCATTGAAACTATGCCGGCTGTTAAGCGTAAGGCTGATTGGGCTATGGCTTGGATTTCCTCGAAATCGGCTAATTTTGGTGAACGTATTATTGCTTTTGCTGCTGTGGAGGGTATTTTCTTCAGTGGCAGTTTTGCCTCCATCTTCTGGCTAAAGAAACGTGGTCTTATGCCTGGTCTTACATTCTCCAATGAATTGATTTCACGTGATGAGGGTTTACATTGTGATTTTGCGGTATTAATGTTTAAACATTTGGTACAACGTCCCAGTCGGGAGAGAATTATTGAAATTATCACCGAAGCGGTGAAAATTGAACAAGAATTCCTTACAGATGCTTTGCCCGTCAATTTGATAGGCATGAATTGTAAATTGATGTCAGAATACATAGAATTTGTGGCCGATCGTTTGCTAGTGGAATTGGAAGTGGGAAAGGTAAGTTATTAGGAATAATATTTTAAAGAGTTTAAATATTTTTTTAACTTGTGTGTGTTTATTTTAGGTTTACAACACCAAAAATCCCTTCCCCTTTATGGAAATGATCTCTTTGGATGGCAAAACTAATTTCTTTGAACGTAAAGTTGGTGAATATCAAAAATTAGGTGTAACTACTCACCGTTTAGATAATGTTTTTACATTAGATGCCGATTTTTAAAACAATAATGCACTCTATACTATTACAATAATCTCTACCCGCTAATCATTTCTAATAATAAGTCTAATTTAGATTTGTTACCGGTTTAGTTGGATTTTTGCCAAGTTTTAGCAAGTGGAAATTTATGATGAAAAACAAAATTATTTAAATGGCAAAAACGTTTTCTTGCTGTCTTGGTAAAATTTCTCTAAATTTGGTATTTTTCTTATATTTACAACAAGCCCGTATTTTGTAACACTTTAAACTTACTTTGCTAATAGTTCCAACATTTTCAACGTGAGTTATAAGGTTTCCCAAGAAAAATTAATAACAATTTTAGTTATAAGTTCATTTTTCATGACGCATCAAGACCACCACCATTCATTCATATATTTTATATAAATTTATTACTATTTGTTTGTCCCTTCTTTAAAGTATTCCACTTGATTTTCTTTGTTTACCAAGTTGTATTTATATTTAAATTAATTTTAATTATAAATACCTCTACAGTTTTACTATATAATAATTCGCTTACTGAGTAGTAATAGCAATTCTTCTTGACCTGACTATATACATATATATTTTTTTTAATTTTGACTTTGATTTTTTTTATTTACATTTGCTTATTCCAAAATTTGTATAATTTTTTTTATAAATTTCTTATTTGAACAAAATTTCATTGTACATATATTCATCATTTAATTCTATATTTTACTATATATACACATTATACATTTTTTATAAAAAAGCTAAATAATTCGTTTAAAATGAGTTTATGGGAAATTATTTCCATAAACGTAAAAAAATAAAGTACCTTAAATAATATAATAAATAAAGTTTTTGTTGTTTTATTATTGGATTTAAACAGGGGTCTTGCTAACGTTAACGACATTAAAATGTGTCGATTTATAAGTTAAATAATCGAATAAACTGTAAAACTGGTGCATATTGAAATAAAACGTTCTATAGGCAACCCTCTCCTTTCATTTTAAGAAAGTCCAACTATTTTGTATTAATTTTTTCAAAACTTTTTAAAATTTTATGTAACAAATCCAAAAAAAAAAAAAAACTTTCTAGCAACGTTTTAAAATCATACCAATTCCAACAAATAAATATTCATTCGCATTTTAAGAATTCTACATTTGAGAGGCAAGTGGTAAGTGTAGATTCTTAGCATAAGTTCATGTTTGAATCTTTCTGGTTCATAGAAATCTAAAATTTCCATAAGAATTAAGCAGAACCTAATAAATCTTAATCCCACTCATCTTCCCGAATCTCTCGATTCTTCAATTAAGTAAATATTGAACATCTGTGATCACTCATTCCCAGCAAAACTGTATTTTTAAATATAAAAATGAAATCGGCTTTAGATCTGTAGCTTTTGAAGGGTTATGCACCATAAAAAACTGAATTCCACTCGTAGATGATAAAGTCCATTATTATTCCCTTCGTAGAGTGTGAAGATCCAAAGAGAAACAAAACACTAGACGAAGGAGAGAGTGAAATAAAAACAGGTAAATTCCGAATCGATTCCCTAAGAAAGTATTGTGAAAGAATATTGTGAAGAAGTCTTATTTCAAAGAAATTACTAATTCCCCTGGTAAAACCTAGTAGACTGACAGGGATGAGTCCCACAATTTCTGTCAGTTAGTCAGATATTTTATTCTAGGACAGTGACCAATTATGTGCTCAATCGTTTATAGTTCCTCGGCATCTTCGCAAAACTTCACTTACTGCCAAGGGCACTAATTGAGAAAATTCTTTTAAGAACCCCATCAGAATCCTTAGACTGCTCCTATCCAGTCCTAGAAGTATATTGGTATATTGATGTAGGGGCATCAAGTTTTGGCCATAACGCACTTGAAATTTTTCAATCCATTCTACTATTCCAGGATTAGATGATGATGTTGCGGATTCTCTCGAAAATCAACCCATAATAGTCACAGAGTGATTTCACTCTTGTATCCAATGCTCTAAGAGCAGTTTGACTATCGACATAAATTGTCTAAACGGGGATATCTATATGATTCCATTATCATTTCTGTCACTTTCTAGATCGCTAGGATCTCTGCTTGGAAGACACGACATTCGTTAGGGAGTCTGAAGAACCTTTTAATATCGGTATCAGCTATATAGACAACGGCATCCGTGCATGCCAATAGTCCCTCGAAGTCTAGTTTCGTACTTCTAGAGTTAGTTTTGTACTTCTAGAGTTACCATGATCAAGTACAGGGCCCAAATTATGGAAAACGAGATCGATCGAAATCTCCATTTAGATTCTATTGAGATTTCGATCGATATCGTATGCCATAATTTGGGCGCCAGAATTTTCGTGTCATTGTCAAGGTTTGATTAACGAATTATCATAGAGTCTAGTAGATTCCATATCATTTCTGTCGCTTTCTAGATCGCTAGATTCTCTGCTTGGAAGACATGACATTCATTAGGGAGTCTGAAGGAACTTTTTATATTGGCATCAGCTATGTATATGGACAACGGCACCTGTGCCGGTACATGCCAGTCCCTTGTTGGAAATTCCTTTAGAGGTGCTTTCTCAAAGTCTAGTTTCGTATTTCTAGAGTTACCATTTTCACGAGAATGTTTGATTAACGAAGACTCATAGAATCTTAGTAGATTCCTGAGTATGTTCTTTCCATGAAAACTTGCTACCAAGGAAAGTACCTAAATACTTATGTAACTCCTCTAAATCAACTTTTTTCGACGCCATCTAACATCGGTAGCCTAAAGTTGGCTGACTACCTTAATAACGCCTGTTAATAATCTTTTAGCTTCTTCCCATATCAAGATCTCACCCAGTGCATTCTTCATGATGTCACAGATCGTAGATAGAAATTTTCTACGTCATATGCATAGGCCACGATCTTCCTGTTTTTTGATTCTAATAGCTCTAAATAGAGGAAAACACCCCCTGTGACGTCCCCTTGGTAACCCTTCTCCTAATGCAATAGTCTTCTAGGTTCGAGTTTATAATTCTGCATGCGGACTATCCAATTCACAAGAAATTTCTGAACCCCTGGCTCTACAAGCGAATCTCTAATCGCCTCAATCTTTATATTATTGAAAGCACCCTGTAGATCCAAAAACGCCTAAAGATTATAGTCCCTATTCTTTAAGCTGTGCTCAAAACAACTGTAGATCCATAAATAAGGCTGCAATTGAGAAAATAGTGAAAAACCGTGATCAATCATATTTCCCATTAAGTTGTATATGAAAAATAATGATTCGATGAAATAGATTTTTTGAGGAAAAATTCAAATCGGAAATAACTTCGTTTAAAAAGGGTTTCAATTCAAAAATCAATTGTTTGTTTTCTTAATAATTTTTCAAAATGCATTATATGTAATTTTTCACGTCTGTTTTCCAACCCCCCAAAATAATACAACGAATGGGTTAATAAATCTACCCTAACGATTTGTGGTTGTTATTTTTTAAGAGCACAAAACATGCACATAACAAAGAGTAATACTCTCTTAACTAAACCTAAAAGTATGCCAAACATAAAATGGCATTGAAACATTGCAAAAACGTGCCAAAACTAGCACGTGAATTTAATTTTTTGGGCATTTTTACGCATACATTTGCAAGGAGTACAAATACTACGAAAGATAAACAATGATGTTAACTATTTATAGTAAAAACGCTGGAAGCTGTAGGACCAAAGGATAACAATTTCAATTCATTTCAAAACTTTAGCGAAAACTTTTAATAGAAATTAAGAAATTATTAAAAAAAACTATACAATTTCTGTCTCCCGCTAAATTTGCAACATTTCTAATAAAATCTATTGATAAAAACAAAGAGAACGTGTACAAACAATTAAAAACAAATGCCGGTTATTAAGCTTATTACAAAAAAAAAAAACACACACAGATAAGAGAGACAAATAAAATTGATATTATGCTCTTAAATAACATGCATACACTCTAACTTTTCCACTTAAAAACAACCAAAAATTTTCTTCCGTCAGTATATTAAGTGCCGTGAAACTGAGCAGAAAGTTCTGCTAAAATAGAACTTTACGCCAAAGTGTAGCCAACAAAATAAATGAATAAATTATAAAAATTGTATATAGTATAACAAAAGTAGAACACAGTGATTTCCAACATATAATACTCATTAAAAGCCTTAAAGGTTTACAAAGCTACCAAATTTGTTTTGCTTTTGAAATTTTAACGTAATTTTGCACGTAAATTTTTTAAAAATAAAACTTATGTAATAATTGTGTAATTGCTTTAAAAAAAAAGAAGACAAAAATTTTGGTTAATTTTTTCCAAAAAAAAAAAGGACTTGATTAATGGTCTTTTGTAAGTAGAACAAACATTAAGGTGTCACGCAACTAAGGTGAGTTGTTGTTTTTACTTCTTTCGTTTAGTCATTAACTTTGTTTGAAATTAGATTACAATTTTATGGATTAATTTTAACCTTAAACAACAACACACACATCTCTAGTATAATTTTCAAACTATTGATTTAACGATTTATAATATTAGTTTTTCCTCAAATTGCTTGTTTACTTAAAACCCTCGTAAAGTATGCATTGATTTTTTTATTTCTTTGCCAACCTAGAAGTATGCAAGGTCTGCTATTTGCTTTCCTTTTTTTCTTTAAACAACTGTGTCAAATAATAGTTTGAATGTCTGCCAGAGTGAATGTGTGTGAGTGTCTGCTTAAGTGTGCTTGCTTCTACGAGTGGGTGAGAGAAAGAGAGATAAAATTATAATTAATAATCACGTTTCCGCACGTTTACAAGAATTAATGGTTGACATTAAAAAAAAGGGTTATTTGTATTTAAAGTGGACTCTTAAAGTTTATTATAAAGTAAATACAAATTAATGGCTGCATAGTTAATTTTTATCTATCATGTTAAAATAAATAATAATTTAGGGAAAATGTATTAAATATTAATTCGTATACAAGGTCCATAGTTAAGACGCTCCATAATTTATACTATGGATTGTTCTAAAGTCAAGACTATAGACTGTTCTATAATCAAGATTATAGACTATTCTATAGTTAAGACTATAGACTATTCTATAGTCAAGACTATAGACTATTCTATTGTCAAGACTATATCCTATTATATAGTCAACTATAGACTATTCTACAGTATAGAATATCGACTTTTCAATAGTCAAGACTATATACTTCTCTATAGACTATATACTATCCTACAATGAAGACTATAGACTATTCTATAGTCAAGAATATAGATTACTCTATAGTCCACACTATAGACTATTCTATAGTCCAGGCTATAGACTATTCTAAGTCCAGACTATAGACTATTCTATAATCCACACTATAGACTATTCTATAATCCAGACTATAGACTATTCTATAACCCAGACTATAGACTATTCTATAGTCGAGACTATAGACAATACTATAGTCCAGACTATAGATAATTCTATAGTCCAGACTATAGACAATACTATAGTCCAGACTATAGATAATTCTATAGTCCAGACTATAGACAATACTATAGTCCAGACTATAGACAATACTATAGTCCAGACTATAGACAATACTATAGTCCAGACTATAGACAATACTATAGTCCAGACTATAGATAATTCTATAGTCCAGACTATAGACAATACTATAGTCCAGACTATAGATAATTCTATAGTCCAGACTATAGATAATTCTGTAGTCCAGACTATAGACAATACTCTAGTCCAGACTATAGATAATTCTATAGTCCAGACTATAGACTATTCTATAGTCCAGACTATAGACTATTCTATAGTCCAGACTATAGACTATTTATAGTCTAGACTATAGACTATTTATAGTCCAGACTATAGACTATTCTATAGCCCAGACTATAGATAATTATAAAGTCCAGACTGTAGATAATTCTAAAGTCCAGACTATAGACTATTCTATAGTCCCGACTGTAGACAATACTATAGTCCCGACTATAGACAATACTATAGTCCTGACTATAGATAATTCTATAGTCCAGACTATAGCCTATTCTATAGTCCAGACTATAGACCACTCTATAGTCCAGACTATAGACGATTGTATAGTCCAGACTATAGACTATTCTATAGTGCAGACTAAAGACTATTCCATAGTCCAGACTATAGACTATTCTATAGTCTAGACTATAGACTATTCTATAGTCTAGACTATAGACTATTCTATAGTCCAGACTATAAAATATTCTATAGTCCAGATTATAGACTATTCTATAGACCAGATTATAGACTATTCTATAGTCCAGACTATAGACTATTCTATAGTCCAGACTATAGATAATTCTATAGTCCAGACTATAGACTATTCTATAGTCCAGACTATAGACTATTCTATAGTCCAGACTATAGACTATTCTATAGTCCAGACTATAGACTATTCTATAGTCCAGACTATAGACTATTCTATAGTCCAGACTATAGACTATTCTATAGTCCAGACTATAGACTATTCTATAGTCCAGACTATAGACTATTCTATAGTCCAGACTATAGACTATTCTATAGTCCAGACTATAGACTATTCTATAGTCCAGACTATAGACTATTCTATAGTCCAGACTATAGACTATTGTATAGTCCAGACTATAGACTATTCTATAGTCCAGACTATAGACTATTCTATAGTCCAGACTATAGACTATTGTATAGTCCAGACTATAGATTATTCTATAGCCCAGACTATAGACTATTCTATAGTCCAGACTATAGACTATTCTATAGTCCAGACTATAGACTATTCTATAGTCCAGACTATAGACTATTCTATAGTCCAGACTATAGACTATTCTATATTCCAGACTATAGACTATTCTATAGTCCAGACTATAGACTATTCTATAGTCCAGACTATTCTATAGTCCAGACTATAGACTATTCTATAGTCCAGACTATAGACTATTCTATAGTGCAGACTAAAGACTATTCCATAGTCTAGATAGACTATTCTATAGTCTAGATTATAGACTATTCTATAGTCCAGACTATAAAATATTCTATAGTCCAGATTATAGACTATTCTATAGTCCAGATTATAGACTATTCTATAGTCCAGACTATAGACTATTCCATAATCCACACTATCGACTATTCTATAATCCAGACTATAGACTATTCTATAGTCCCGACTGTAGACAATACTATAGTCCCGACTATAGACAATACTATAGTCCTGACTATAGATAATTCTATAGTCCAGACTATAACCTATTCTATAGTCCAGACTATAGACTATTCTATAGTCCAGACTATAGACTATTCTATAGTCCAGACTATAGACTATTCTATAGTCCAGACTATAGACTATTCTATAGTCCAGACTATAGACTATTCTATAGTCCAGACTATAGACTATTCTATAGTCCAGACAATAGACTATTCTATAGTCCAGACTATATACTATTCTATAGTACAGACTATAGACTATTCTATAGTACAGACTATAGACTACTCTATAGTCTATTCTATAGTCCATACTATAGAATATTCTATAGTCCAGTACTATAGACTTTATATATAGTCAGGATACTTCACTTTTCTGTGGTCAAAAACTGTAGACGTTTCAATTTTATACTCAAAATCATAGTACATCCTAAAAACTATAAATACATTTGTAGTATATTCTAAAAAAATCAAATATTTTCATATATTTCTTTATATTTTTTACCATTACATTATAAATTTGCACTATAAATCATTACCATGGGTATTTTCTATTGACGCATTTTTTTGTAATTGTCTCTTTCGGTGACCAGTCATAAAAGATTAGATTTTATGTCGTTATTTAATTGTACGAAAATAAGTAGGTGTGTATTTTGTATATTTCTTTTTTCAAAAATTAAAAACAATATACATGAATAGTTTCCCATTGGGATTTGATATTGTGTAACTAACACGTTGCCCAGTAATCTATACAACTATTGTAATAAAATTTTGTTCAAAAAGAACTACCTGATTTTCATGAAATAATAGTCAAAAACAAAGTAAACAAAGTGGTATTTTATATAAGGAATTTGCAAAACTCAAAAGGAACATAAATTATAAAAGATAACCTTGTTAAAATAACAGCAATTGAAATTCAGGGAATATATTACCAATCTCTTTGCATAAGTGTAGAAAGTTATTACAAAAAGATAGGTTAAAATTGAACGATATAGTGCATTGGCACAGTAGGGGTGGTTATTTTAATCAACATTTGTTGTATGCATGTCTTTAAAAAGGGTGTTTTTTCCAACTGCAACCAAAGTTTTTAGTTGAACATTTTGTTAAACGAATAGGTGTCTAAGGGATCTATATAGTGGCTCACAAAGGGATCAAATTAAGAGACCCAAGTATGTCCCCAATAAAGAAGATGAAAGCGATAAAATTGCTTGCGCTACTACCGTTTAACTTTGCCTTATTGATAAAACTAACGTTTCAGCTGATTAGTTTTTAAGGTTAAGGTGTTAGAATAAGGAAAAAGTGGATCAATAATAATAACAATTATATTTAAATGCTTTTCTACATAGTTTATAAATTACTAATTTGTTTGAAAATTACTATGAAAATATTTAATTTGTGTAACTAGACATTTTTTAAAGACAGCAACTAACTACTATATGTTAATAATAAACTTTATAAAATAATAAACCTTTGACCATAAAAACAATAACAAATATTATTAAATATTTAAGTTTATTTATAATAATTTTCAGACATGAATTTATATTATATACATACATATATACAAAATTAAATATTATTTCCGCACACTAACGTATTACTATTTACATGAGCATTTTTATAGACAAATCTAAATCTCTTTAAATATTTACAATTGGATTTCAACGAACTAAGACAAAACCCTACATAACCCTAACTAAAGAGATATTGTAAAATCGATTATGAAATATTATATAAGATTTTCGGTTACCAAAAGAGTAATTTATTAAAACTTAACTGGGAAGACTATAGACTATTCCATAGTCGAGACTATGCACTATTCTATAGTCCAGACTATAGACTATGCTATACGCCATAACTATGCTAATGGACATACTACGGACTATTTTACAGTCCAGACTATAGACTATTCTGTAGGCCAGACTGTCAACTATAGTATTCTTAAGTTCAGACTATAGATTATTATATAGGGCAGGCTATAGACTATGCTATAGAACATACTATAGACCATTCTATATTCCAGACTATATACTATTATGTAGTCCATACGATAGGCTATTATATACCCTGTCTATATCCCAGACTATAGACTATTCTGTAGTCCGGACTATAGACTATTCTATAGTCCAGACTATAGACTATTCTATAGTTCAGACTATAGACTATTCTATAGTTCAGACTATAGACTATTCTATA